CTCTTATATCTCAGTTAATCTTGGACGAATATGCCTGTCAAATATACCAAAATTTAAGTTAGATATTGCTGGATGCAATGAAACTCGATTTATGGTTCTACTGCTTATGGTTTCTGAGGTACAAGTAATCAAACAGTTGTACTTTTTTTTGCACCACCCGGTACTACAGGCAGTGGTTGTCTAGAAAGTAGATCAGCAGGGTTGCCTTCGTCTTTGCGATATATTATATTAAATTTGTATTGTTGTAAGCGAAGAGCCCACCGTTGAATCCGAGCAGGTGGTTTGGATTTGGGTGAATAAATTGCCTCAAGGGCTTTGTGATCGGTGCAAATTGTGAATTCTGCACCATTTAGGTACATGTGGAACCGTTCGCAACCCCAGATGACGGCTAAGGCCTCTCGTTCGGTTTGTGAATACCGTTGTTCAGTTAGAGTGAGTGACCTACTGGCATATGCTACATTATGCAAATTACCTGCTCTGTCAATGTTCGACAATATTGCTCCAAGACCTGTTGGGCTTGCATCGACTGTTAGACATGTTTTCTGATTTGGGTCATAAAAATGCATGATACAGTCTTTCTGTATAGCTTCTTTAATAGCGGCAAACGCTGCTGTGTGTATAGGTGTCCATGCATAGGGTGTTTTGGCTACAGTAAGTTCTCGCAAGGGGGATGTAAGAGTTGAAAAGTTCTTGATGAATCTGGAACAATAGTTTCCTAGCCCTAGGAAACTACGGAGTTCTTTCGTGTCCTTCGGTTCCTTAGCATGCTTAATTGCATCAACTTTCCTTGGATCAACTTTTATGCCTGAATCAGTAAGGAGAAAGCCATAGAACCAAAGTTCTCTCTGATCAAATAGACATTTGTCATTATTTACGGTTAAGCCGGACTCGTCTAAGAGTGCAAATAACTGCTCTAACCGTAAATTATGTTCCTGTTGTGTTGACCCCCAAACAATTATATCATCCGCAATTTTACGAACTCCGTCTATCCCTCGAATGGCATTCTCGATAGCATGCTGAAATACCTCTCGCTGGCTGAGTTGATACCGAAAGGTAATCGTTTATAGCGAAATAACCCACGATGCGTAATAAATGTAGTAATGGACCTGGAACTCTTCTCAAGGGGAATTTGGTGATTTGGTGCCTTCAAATCAATCTTACTGTATTTAATTGCCCCATTCATACTTTCCATCAGTTCGTCAACTGTAGGAATTGGGTGTTTTTCTCTTTTTATAGCTGTGTTTGCTTGGCGGTAGTCGCCGCATACTCTTACTTCATTGGGGTTTCTGGGTTTTGGTGCGAGAACTAGTCCACTCACCCAGTCAGTGCTCTCATCAGATACAGGCTCAATTATATCTTTTTGTAAGTAATCATCAAGCCAGGTGTCTAACTGTTTGTGTAAATGAAATGGAACACGCCTGTTCGTTTGGGCAACAGGGGGTACATCCGTATTTATGTGAATCTTTTGTTCATGCCCCTTTAGTTTACCAATTCCTGTAAATACATTAGGGTGCCTACATTTCAATAGGTTTTCTTTTCTTTTACTTGCATCCAAATCACAGCTACTCATATCAGTTCCAGAGTCCGACTTGACTTCCGATACTTTCGACACCGAGAATTATTAACATTCATGGTAATCAAACGCAAATTAGTAGATGTCTCACAACCGAGAATTGAAGCAGTGCCTTGAGTTCCCTTTGTGACATAAAATGTAGCGGCAGCAACACAACGCTTTGAGTCAACTAGAACTTCAAACTTTCCTTTCAACTCAACTGGTTCTGAAGAGCCAAATGCATAGATTCTAGTTTTAGTCTTTCGTAAAGAGATTTAGTCCTTTGAATTTGTACAGAGAAACTCATAGTCCTTTTGTGTCGAAATGTTCACTGAAGCTCCGGTGTCAATCAAAAACTCTACTTTCACCCCATTAATTTTGAGTTTTGTCATGGGTGGTTGCTTCACTTTCTTGGCTCTCGAAACAGCAAATATATCCTCATTGCTTATCACTGTCGCTTACTTCCGGCTTACACTGGCTCAGCAGGGAGTGGTTGCTGTTGCCGATTTTGGTTCAAAGCATTCAACTTGTTAGTCTTCTACGCAGCCTGTTCGCGGGTCCGAGATTTTCTCCCCACTAACAGGCTGCTTACTGCAGCAACACATTCCATTCCGATTGTTTAGCCAATCACAGCCCGAGTACCAAAATCAGGAACTCGTTCGCGCTTAAATTTAATATTCCGAAACAAAGATGGCGTCGTATGATCAAGCATTGTATGAAGTCGCCCATTATTTCGTATTTCTACTTTCAACGATCATCAGAGGAATGCGATTCGAACAATAATTAAAGAAAAATGAGATGCGTTTGTCAACACGCCTACTACAGGCTTCGATAAATCGATTTGCCTCTCATATGATGTGATCGCCTGTTCTACGAATAATGCCAGAGCGGTAGTTCATGGAATACCAGAGCCCAGAGGCATTGCTCTTTATAAATCATTGACTATTTAACTGCCTTATTTATGTTTCAGTACCACCATTTTAATAATTTATCAGATTTCTTTAAAAATTATTTTGTGACAAACAACAATTGTCAACAAAATTCATGAACATAATTAAGTCATAACACTACGAAAATGCTTCAAAACTTCACGAATGTTATGAAAGGACAAATTATTTTAATTATGTGAAACACAGTCTCTCATATAAAGCAGATGATATACTGTATGGAATTCGTTAGAAACAAAATTTAATGAAATAAACTCCTATAACATACATGTATCTCCAAAAATAATGTATTAAAAAATATATATGTAGGCTAATACTTTAATAATATATAGCACTTTAGTTTAGTATTTTGTTGGTCATTGTTGCCAAGTCATTGTAAAAATTTAAATGCATCGCCAACTTTAGTATTAATTTATATACTGATACGAACATTGCCCTTACAGTAACTTCTTTTTCTCTGTTGTAAATACAGACGTACATATTCTTCAAAACGTCTCATTTTACATATTGCATGTATGACACTATGTCTATGTGATTTAATAATTATTACAAATGAACAGTATTTATAAAACTAGAAGCCTAAAATCTAAATAGAAAGTCTACGAAGATGTCTATAGTAGGTATCTAGCCCAAAATCGTAATTAAAGATAAATTTTAAGTAGCTTTTTTATATATGGGGAAAATTAAATAAAAATATATAATACTGTATATATAAGACCATATAAATTTGTAAACAACTATTTTGAACGACAAGTTGTCAATTTCGAATTACTGCATGTATTCAAATTAACACAAAATCATTGATCTTGCTTCGCAGGATCTGCACTAACAGGTTGCGCTGTCGATTCCTCAACTTCATGAAGTATGACTGGCGTTTCTAACGTTTCTCTAGTTTCAACAACTTGTGGCTCCACATACTTCTTCATGTGCGCTATTCCTCGCATCTTATTATCTCCACCAGAATCTTGTATAACAACTGCATTGCCTTCTCTGCGAATCACTCTGTATGGAAGTGGTTCGAAACTTGACGTTAGCTTGTTTTTCCTCGTTTGTTTCAACAACACTCGATCACCCTCACTAATGTTGCTATCTTGGGCCGCGCGTGTCTTATCGGCGTATTCTTTCTGTCGGAGTTTTACACGAGCATCCCTTTCTTTCAAAAGCTGTTTCCGTTCTGTCTCGGTGACACGACTTTCATTAACTTCAACTCTCGGGAGCTTTTCACGTAGTTTCCTTCCCATCAAAAGTTCGGCCGGAGTTGTGCCAGTTACTGTATGAGGAGTTACTCTGTAATGGAATAGGAAATCTTCCAATGCTTTTTTTCCAATCTTTACCTTCAATTCTGGCAATCCTAACGATCTTCAACAAGGTTTCGTTGCAACGTTCAACTCCTCCGTTACTTTGAGGCCAATAGGGTACGCCTTTCTTATGGATTATTCCGAGACTCTTTAAGAACGCTTCAAAATCTCTTGATGCAAATGGAGGGCCATTGTCACTACGAATTGTCTCTGGCAAACCGTGTGTTCTAAAAATAGCCTCCAGACTCTTTATCACGTGCTGCGCGTCTGTTTTGCGAAGTAGAATGGCTTCGACCCAACGAGAATAATAATCTACGACGACCAGAAGATGACTCTCACTGGTTATTTCGAGAAGGTCAACTGAAATGTCTTTCCACGGAGATTCAGGCAATTTGGTCGATCTAATCGGTTCTGGCTTCGGTTTGGAACCACCCACGATTTGGCAGGGATGACATGAACGCACATAATCTTCTACCTGCTTGTCGATTTTCGGCCACCAAACTTTCTCTCGCAATCTGGACTTCGTACGAACAATTCCTTGGTGTCCTTCATGAGCCAACTCAACAGTTCGCTTCCAAAGACTCTCTGGCATAACTATTCGGCTCCCTCGCATTACAACTTGGCCAATAATCCAGAACTCATCTTTCAACGTCTTGTATTTGGTTCCTCGTAAGGAACTCCAATCACCAGTCACCACTGCTTGGCGAACTAACTTTAACGTCGCGTC